TAATTCAAATGAAAACCCAGAATTTAAGAATCAAGCCTGAATCTGTTGATATATTTGAAGTCCAAGTTATATTTAAAGTTACAAATGTCAATGTTTCTCTTTCGGACTGAAAATATCACTAGGCAATATTTTGATTGGACAGGCAGATTAAAGATGTTCAAATACCTGTGCATATACTGGGAGCTGATGGATTGAGACTTATGTGAATTTTCTGTGGGGTCAAGTTGTAGAAGACCACAGTTGAGAAAGCGTTCACAGAACTTATGTGTCATGAGATGACACCATTGGATAAATATTGTGCACTTGATCCCCTAAATTTTCCAGACTGTCCCTTTCTTGTAACTTTCTCATGAATCTCACTGGACTTCTCCTGTCTTCTAAAAAGAATATAAAATGGATCCTCCATGCTCTTTCCTTAATATAGCCTGTTGTGACTTCATAATACTGAGTGGGAACAAGCTGGTTTCTTTGAAAGAATGATAGGGTTCAATCTTCTATTGTTTAGTTTGTAGTAACGTAAGCAATACATAAATATGCTCCCTGTAAAAATTAAACATTTCAGATAAGAGAATCTCCTTTCACCAGCATTTACAATGATAAGCATCTCCCCTGTCTCTTCCTATGATATATGCAGAGTTTTTACTGTGCATTTGCGTGCATGGAAATGCACCCACAGAAAAAATACAGAACCACTTTGAGTGTAAGGGTGTGTGTTTTTAATAAATCATTCTTCACACAATACTTTCAAACTTGCCTTTCTTAGTAAAAAAAAGATTCTTGGGGAAAGTCTATATTACTATATGTAGACTTAACTCATTTTTAAAATTGCTGTATATATCCCAGGCTGTGGATATATCCCAGTTTATTGATCCCTCTGCCTACTGGTGGATATTTATATTGTTTCTAATGTTCTACTTATCAACAATGCTGCATTCATTTCTTCCTAGCCCTGTATGAGCTTTCTTCATAATAGTCTCCCTTTTTTTGTTTATCTCTTCTGGTTAGATAATCTTCTTAAAATACTGGGAACCCATGAAATGTAATAGCTAATTTTGTGCAAGGACCAATAATATCCTGTAAATTAGCCTCAAAATTGCCCAAACCATTTCCTTTGGTGAATTCTAAAGCTTCATTAGTACTTGTGATTTAGTCAAATAGGCCTGGCTGGAGCTGTTCCCACCCTGTCCGTAACTTTTGGAATAAGTTTTCTTTATCCTTCTGCCTGCCCATCCTCAGAGCAGCCTTTGTTCCCTGGCCCAGTGGGAGCACAGCAAAGTAAGAATGCGCTTTCATAGACTAAGTCCATTACTCTCTCTCCTACTGTCTACCAGAGTTTTGTCCAGGATATGATGGGGGGAAGACTTTATTTGGGATGACACAGAAGAGAGAACAGATCTCTTCTCTTGAGATCTGTTATTATAACCAGTCATTTGTGATCTTATAACCTGGAAAAATCCCGGAAGCCTAGTAAGAGGTAGTTAAGTTTCAGTCACAGTTGAGTGATTTACCCATAAGTATTTCTTAATAGCCCAGCAAGGAGTCATAAGTAAGATCAGGCTTTTGTTGATAGGATTATTTCTGTGCAAGGTAAAATTATCCTGGTATGAAGTACAGGAAAACAAAAAGCCTTTTTCTTTAGGTCTTTAACAAAAGAGCAGGCACAGAATGTCTAGGGGGCGGCTACTGTTGGAATCAGAAGAATGCAAAACTCCAAATGAGGGTACCGCATTTGACTGTGTTTTTAGTGTTGATCTTGCAAAGCGCATGCCTTGTATCACCAAGTTAGCTACCCTTGATATAATAGAGATGCTTTGTTTTGGGACATAGGACAAGTGTTAAAGGTTTCTTGCATATATCACTAACAATTCTACACAGTAACTTATTGACGTAATTTTGACATTCTCGAAAAGTGTGCTCTTTTGTTTAACTCTCTCAACAATACTGACCCAGGCAGGGTAAGCAATCCTGTAGATTACCCAGAGTAGGTGATTTATTTCATCATGGTCAAAACATATACAAAATCTGTCTTCACACCCATCTGTTCCTAGAGATAGAGACAGATACATATTTATATAAAATAGAGATATGTATTTATACAAAAATAGAAGGGAACCGTGGGATTTTGAGGTGTGCTGTGAAATTCCTACTATTTATCTTTTGTGTTTGACTATCCGTAGGGCTGTAAGCTTACTCAGAGCTCACATAGATGCGCCCAGGTACTGTAAGTCAACCACTGTTCTTGGTCTCTGCCCTGTTCTTGTTCTGTGAAGTGAAGAAGGCCTCAAATGCATTTGGGGTGAGGCTAGAAGCACTTGTATTTGCCACCTCTGTGTTTAAAAAAAAAAGAAAAAAGAAAAAAGCCCATTTTGTGTGTCTGTTCCCTATGAGAATTGAGTTCTTTGCCTGCTCTGTTTTCAGACATCAAGCCTTACTTTAATGTGTTTTTCTAACTCTGTGCTCCCCGTGCATACTTGATCATCAAAATCACCTGAAAATACTGTGAGTTCTATGATCAGACAAGTTTAAGAAACAATCTTAGCCTGATGTGTGAGATCTGTCTCTTGGAGTTTAATTGCTGAGTCCTGTCAAGGACCCAGGTCCATAGCATGTTCCTGCAAGCACTTGGTGTCTGGCATTGCTCTTGGCAGTAAATGAATTAAAACTACAAATAAGTTAGGAGGCAAGCATCACTTCCCAAGGATCCTTTCCCAAATCAGGAGAGGCTCAGTAAGTGCTGTGAATCATAGTAATATTTATTCATTATTTCAACAATGATTTGAGTGTACACTATATGCCAGGAATTTGTGCTCAGTGCTGGGGACACACAGCTGAGAATGAGGCATTGTTTAGAATGATTTAACATTTACTGAATTGCTTATGGTGGGATGAATACCCAGCTAACTGCTTCACATGCCTTTGCTGGTTATAACTTCATAACTGTCCCATGAGGTGGGTAGTGTCACCATCATTTTAAAATTAAGAAACTGTTATTTCAGAAGTTTGACTGACTCGGCCAAGGTCACTGATCTCATAACAGGGAGATTCAGAGTCCATACTGGACGTATATTCCTGTCTCTGTTCATCTTCTGCTTAACACAATCTATGTGTCTCCACACTTTCCTCTTTCTACTGCCATCACTCCGTGATAGAATTGCCTGGTGAACTTTTAAAAAGTATCCTTGCCTGAGTTTTACCCAAAACAGATGAAAGAATAGTTGATGGGGCCCAGGCATGAGCATTTTTCAAAGCTCTCTGGGTGATGCCAATGTGTAGAGATGGTTGAGAAGCATTTCGAGCATTGTTAATTGACATCGAATACATACTGCTCCTGCCAGCCTCATGGTTTCTAGCATTCTTCTTAGATCATTTGGCTGATTAAATGATTAATGATTCCAAATCACCTTTCTTCCCTTTTAAACAAACAGAAATCTATCAAAATATAGCAAATACTTTCATAATGCCAAATGTTCCTCAGTGAGGGACATGATAAAAGACCCATTTAACTGGGAATTTAGAAACTTGAAGATCTATTTTCAGGGGGAAGTATAGTCAACAGTGAGTGATGAGGAATGACCTGGGGTCTAGAGCACCCATGAGCTCCTGAATCTCTCTTTTTCTGGTGTGATTCTGAGATCCTGAGATCTTTTAATCTGATGGGGAAAGAAAACCTTGGGACAGATGGCAGTTTTTGAAAATTTCCCTCAACCCTGGTGAACACAGGTCATACATCAACTTATTTTTTTTCCCCAAATCCAAGTCAAAGTAAAATAAAAGCTAAATAGGAGCTTACTAATTTGGATGCCTTAATATATGTACTTTATACTAAAGATTATTTTGAATGCTCAAAGAAAAAAGAATACATTAAAAAGTAGAAGAATAGACATTTGCATTTGTTGAGGCTGTTGGACAACTTTACTCAAACAATGCATGCATATATACTTATGTAAACTTTGATTTAAGAATTCTGCGTTTCTTGCTGTCAACACTTTGTTAAACATCTATTATATGGTCAGTAATATCTTGCCTTTTAAAGATAGCAGCCTAATTAATCATTGACTCTCCACTAATTAAATTTGTTTTTATCTTGTCTTCAATCAGTGGGTTGTGACTGATCCCTATGACAGGTTCTACTCAAAGCATCTATATCAAATGTTAAGAGAAAATGGTTAGTTGAAGTAATCACAATATTGTGGTCTATAAAATTTCTAGAAAGAGAAAGACAAGGAAAGTAAATTTGGGGGTCACTGTATTTCAACAAGTTTGAGGCACTTTTATGAGAAGAAAAAAATCAAGGCTACCCGGGAGGGGGGAAACTTTTTAAACCATTAGGTCTTTAGACAGAGAAAGAAAGAACAATGACTTCCACCCCACTGTCATAGTGATTTAAGGTGAGTATTATCTTTGCATTTTACAAGTCAGACAACTGATAGGACAGTTGGATCATAAATTTTCGGTAGGGTCCAGAGTCATTTTATGACTATTACTAGAAAAGATCATTACCAAAAGAGTAAACTGAGAAAAAAAAAAACAAAAAAACAAAAACAACAAAAAAAAAAAGAAAAAGAAAAACGTGAAAAATGGCCTCCTTTTTTACATTTCCACATAGGTGATCTCCATACCAGGAGATGAACTTGAACTTGGTTGGGCGGGAGACGAACCTGGTTGGGCGGGAGACTGGAGCCCCTCAGAGAATTTGGGATTCTTCCATTTTTACTGGGAGGGTTGGCAGGTATAACATGTGTTGTTATGTGAGTCCATGAGAGCCTCTGGGGTTCTTACTCCCTGCCTCTCCATGTGGTAGAGAGTCAGTCGCTTACTCTGAAGCACTCAACTGATTTCTGTCTGTGGCTTACCCATGAACAGTGGCTTGGAAGTGTGAAAGCATGAGAAGCATGCAGTGGAACAGCATGCGCTGCCGCCATCTTCTACTTGGTTCTGCATGGGAAAGCTCCTGGGCTGGTTGCCTCTGAGCTCAGGCTTTTTTCTCTCTCTCCCTACAGAACTCACTGAAGGCTTCAAATCGGAAGAAGAAGAGAACAAGCTTTAAAAGAAAAGCCAGTAAAAGAGGGATGGAAGTAGGTGTTTCAGAGTTTTATTCTGAGGAATTTTCACTTTCTTTCCATAACCTACTCTGCCCTATGAGATCAGCTCTAAGTTGATTTTTCTGATCTATCTTCTACCACTGCTTTCTCCTCACTGCACTCTAACCACAATAGAATTCTTTCTGTTCTTTTTAAAAAACACTCAAAACTAACCTCTGCACTTGCCTGGAAATGTTATCCCAGGATGATGATGATGAAGATCAAAGCTAATATTTCTGGAATATTTGGAGTTTACCGAGTAAAATAAAAAGCCTGTCTTAATTCTCTGGAGCAAATGATAACTTGAGATACTTTCTTCCAAGTCTTACATGGAAGTCGTGTTAAGAGTCAGCCCTGGGAAACAAAATGTAGGGTTTTTCTACCTCCGTTGCCTTGGGGTTGCGTTTCAAGCCATGGATGTGTATCCTAACAGTGCTGATCGCTTCTTTCAGCAGGAAAACAAAGGTCGTCCTTTTGTGATAAAACCCATCTCTTCTCCTCTCATGAAACCCTTGCTTGTATTTGTGAATCCCAAGAGTGGAGGCAACCAGGTGAGTCATTTTTCATGATTTTTAACTGAGAAGTTTTGATAAGTTCTTGAAGACACAACTCTCACGGCCAATTAAAATAGTACCACTAGGATCCAGGCTTTGGAAGACACCGGTTTCTCAGGAACAAGGTTATTGTTTCTCTGATAGCTTTACACATTACAGGGCTGGGTAAAACCTAGATGTTCTATAATTCGTCTGTCTGCTTCCATATAAGACTATAACAGAGGCACTTAAGAAACCTAACTACTGACTTTTTCCTTACAGATTTTCAAGAAAGGATATTCCAGAATTTCTCTTAGTTCATATGTTTCAGGATTCCTCAATTCTTGTAGTTAGGAGGTCCTTTATCAACTTCTTTTTATTTCTTTCTGTTGCCATTTAGATACAACTACTTTCATCCCTATCCTCAGAGAAGAAAAAAGGATGATTCGTGAGTCATGATAATCACTACCAAATACCAGCAACATTATAGAAAATATCAACTTCTTAAGGTTTCACTTGGTCCTAGCCCAAATCCGATAGTACAGATAGTTATCTCCTTTGAGAATAAAGAAACTGACTTAGAAAAGTTAAGTCTAAAGGCATGCCTAAAGTCACACTGCTCTTTAAAGGACAGAATTTGTTCTTGAATCCTGGTCTTTGTCTCTTCATCCAATTCTCCTCCCACTCTCTGAGGCTTCTTATCAATACTCTTTTATGGGCTTTAATTTTCTGTTATTTTCGTCTGAGTTTGGATGAGAAAATATTTTCTTTATCCATGAAGTATATATTTTACATTTTGCGACAAGATTCCTTCAAGTTTTACGATAAACAACTGGAGATTTGAAACCCTTTAGTCATCCCATATAAGGAAGGTAAGTTGTATAATTAGAATTGACTTGACCCAATGGTCCAAGATGATGTTCTTGTTACTAAAGACAATGGGCATTGTCTGGAATGTATTAATTACAATAAAACCTCTCTTATGGGAGCTTATGATTTAAATGAAATATTATTCCTCCTTTCATCTCTTTCTTCAAAATTCTCAAAAACTTATGATAAAAATGTGTATTAACAGTTTGGAGAACAAGGAAAAGAAGTTTGTGTAAGCAAAGAAACCATTTGCTTTCAAGACCTGCATTTTTGCGTTGCTGAGAGATCTTTGTGGAGTAATGATGGCAATTCTAAGACATCATTAGAGGAGGACCTAGACATGGGTTTCCTTGAAATGAGGTTTAATTTTCCCTGAACCATTCCCACTCTCTTGGGCTAGTATCTCTATGTCCTATCAAAGGTTAGAGATGCAGTTGGGAACCATGAAACATGGAAATGTAATTGGTCCCATGATTTTGGCCACCTGAGCACCACATATTAATATTAATTAATATTAACACAAAAACCACATGCCACATTTTGTCATGACAGTCCACATTTAAGATGCATTTATTAAATCATTATAAGCTGTCTTTCCTAGGGCACACAGAAGCTTGTAAGTTACCTATTTCTTTAAGGAGCTGATGATCCAGTTAAGACATAGCCTGTTCCTATTCCAGTCTATGTATAAATTATTAATAACGGGGACTTCAGAGATTATCTAATATTACTTCCTATTTCACTAAATAGAAAAGAGAGGTCAAGGAAGCTTAAAATGAACTTTTCTAAAGACATCTTGTTTGTTAATGACACAAAAGGAACAAATGGAAAATAATTTAAGCAACATTAACTGAATGCGACTTCTAAATTGAGTGGCTCAGACTGCAGTGCTATGGTATTTCAGAGGTAAGCAGTGACTTGGGAGCGATAAGGAAATGGTGTCATGGACATGGCTGAAATCAAAGATGGACACTACTTAGTTATGCAGAGGAGAGAAGACTGGAAGGACTGTCCTTTTCCTGCTCTTTACTGTGGGAGATTCCTGTGTGGCAAATTCTTGTTCATCCTTCAAGGCTCAGTGGCGCCTTTCTGAACCATTTCTGGAGATCAATCATCCTGTCTACTATGCCCCGATAGCCCTTGGTACACATTTGCATAATATGAACTGCAACGTAACTGCTCTATGTGCATCTTCACTGTTGGGATACAGGTCCACCTTTGAATCTGTGATTGCTAGAATACAGCACATAGTTAAATAATTGTATAATAGGATTAGAAGAACAGATGTCATGATGCCGATTATTCATTTTGAGGACAATATGATGAGTGGTGCATGCATATTACGTTATTGGAAATGTGATTAGATAAAGATCAGAATGATCCTATGGAATCATGTCTCCAAGGAACAGGATACTTCATATTGAAGACTTTGGATTTATGCAATGGAAACTAGTTTTTTTGCTGTTTAAAATATTTTAGGTTAAAAAACCTTTTGGCTTTTGAACAGAGGAGTAATATGGTGGAATGTAATGTGCATATGACTCGGTTGGGAATCGTGTTACAATGCAGATTCTGCTTCAGTAAGTCGGGGTGGGCTGTAGGATGCCGCATTCGTAACAAGCTCGCAGGTGCTGATACTGCTGCTCAGAGAACCATACTCTGGTTAGCAGGAGCTTACTGTGATCAATAGAAAAATAGATATTTTTTGTTAAATCCTGAGTTTTGCCTTTTCGTAATTTACTTATTCTATTCACCTGCTTTTAACTATAAAAGCATTCCTGTCTCTTTCCCTCTTTGAAACTTAGGCTTTAGACTTTTTTTTTTTTCCTCATTTTTAACTTGCTTAGTCTTCTGTTTTTAAAGTAAATGACTGGGCAGTATTGCCACCTACTGGCAAGAAAAATAGCTTTTTTCTTTATGTAATATTTTACTTGTGTAAGGAAAACATTTTGAAGGAATGTATTGGGATGAACATATGTAAGGACTGCTTCTATGTCTTTCTTTTAAGAAATCCCATATTTTAAAACTCTTTATTTTTTTTTCTAAATTGATACATTATTTTTTGTACATACTCATGGAGTACATATGCTATTTTGATACATTTATGGCATGTATAATGGGTATTTAGCACATCTATCACCTCAAACATTTGTCATTTCTTTGTCTTTGAAATATTTCAAATCTTCTAGTTATTTTGAAAGGTACAATATACTGTAGTTTAGTATAGTCACCCCACTGTGCAAACACTAGAACCTATTTCTTCTATGCAGTTGTATGTTTGTACTCACTATCCAACCTCTGGTCATTCCCCACCCCCACCACACCCTTCCCAGCCTCTGGTAACTATCATTCTACTCTCTACCTCTGTCAGCTCCACTTTTTTAGCTCCTCTACATATGAGTGAGAGCATGCCAATTTTTGTCTTTCTGTGCCAGGTTTATTTCGCTTAACATAATGACCTCCAGTTCTATCTTTGTTGCTGCAAATGACAGGATTTCATTCTTTTTTATGGTCAAATAGTATTTCATTGCGTATATGTATCACGTTTTCTTTATCCATTCTTCTGTTGATGAACACCTAGGTTGCTAAATCTCTTCTTTTAAACTTCGCAGTAGTTGTCTCTTTGTTTTTCCAACACTCTTAAGGTAGAGATGACACTGGGTGTTTTGCAAAGCTGTAGAGCTTGGTAGCGCTGCTGCTATTGTATCATTGGGATTTGAATTACTTGAGGAATCAGGGACCAAAATTTCAACTTTTTTTTTTTTTTTTGAGACGGAGTCTTGCTCTGTCACCCAGGCTGGAGTGCAGTGGCACGATCTCAGCTCACGACAACCTCCACCTCCCGGGTTCAAGCAATTCTCTTGCCTCAGCCTCCCAAGTAGCTGGGATTACAGGCATGTGCCACCACACCAGGCTAATTTCTGTATTTTTAGTAGAGACGGGGTTTCACTGTGTTGGCCAGACTGGTTTGGAACGCCTGACCTCAGGTGATCTGCCTGCCTCGTCCTCCCAACGTGCTGGGATTATAGTACTATGCCCAGCCAAGAATTTCAACTTTGAATACCTCCTTCTGTGGAAAGAGATAGTAAGTAGAAGATAACGTTGACTCCAATGCAATCCCCTCCTATGTGTGGAAACTTTCGAGTACTAGAGAAATAGGCCCCCTCCCTTACACTTCTGTTTGCCTTAATGTCAAAACTTAGATTTTTCTTTGAGGTCCTGGCCTCATTAGCATATTTCTGAGTTTTATAGAATCCTGTGATGTTTCTCAGTATTTCCTGCTTTCACACTGGCTCTCCCTCACGTTCTCTCATGACTTTCTCTTCCAGTGACCTAGACTTTAACTTCAGGGTAAAGCAACGTTCTGACCTCTAGGATGATTCTAGCTGATCATCCCCCAGAGCCGAGGGATCCAGACCCTGGCTTTGCATTGCTGTTCTATGTGGAATCCTAGGGTAGAGGTATGGCAGGAGTTGGATCCTTGGATTAAAAGCCCCAGGTCTTTATCAGTAGGATGATCAAGGAAGAGGTATCCAGTCTGTGGACAGACTCATGCCAGCTGAGTTTACACCACCATTTGGGAATAGGCTTTCTCAGGCTAGGGTCCCCCCTTCTAAGTTGGGGGCCAGTCACATCAAGGTGAGAAGTGGAAGACAGAGTAAATAACTTCAGATGAGAAGTTTTAGTCCCAAAACTGTTTCTAAATAATTGGACAAACAACTTTAATGAAGTACTTACTTTTCTTCAGTACTGGAAACTTCGCAACCGAGTGATAATTCAAGGATAATTATGTTTAGATAAAAGTTTAGGCTCCTAAGGTTTAGAGTAGGCAGGGAAGAGGGCAGAGGGCAGTCAATAGATGAGGACACTTGTCAAAATCTAACCTCAAGATCTTCTTGTCCAGCCAGCTCAACAGATGGAATTAAAACAACCAGATGATGAATCTATGGAAAGTCCTGTTTCTGAAATCATAATATTGGTGGGAGAACTGGGCAGCTAAGACCCAAACTACCTCCTGTGATAGGTCTGGCTCCTTAGTCTGTAGCCAGAGTGATGCATAAAAAAAGTCAGTTTGGAGAAAAAAAAAAACAAAACAAACAAACAAAAACAAACAAACAAAAAAAAACAAGGTGGTCTGAATCTCTTAATTAAGACTTTTCAATGACTCCTTGTTTTCTATAAATCTCAAGCTCTGAAGCTTCATCTATTTGGGGTGGAAAGAAAGACTTTACTTATTTTTCAAGACACATTTCAGATATTTTACTTACAATGCCTTCTAATCTCTCAACTTGGGCTAAGAGTGTTTCCTCTGGGCACTCATCCTCCTCAGCAGACATCTGTATCAGAGAAGTTCTCATCTTTAGTGAATTAATTTATTTTGTTTTGCTCTCCTTCCAGTAGATTCTGAGATCCTGATGGTACACATGGACAGAGTAGGGGCCCAATACGTATTATTGAATAAATGAGGCATTCTGTTTGGATTGTTTGAAGCAGTTTGAAATAATTATTTCTTAAGCCCTTCCTCTCATTAATGTATTGTTCTCTGGCCTTTCTTATTGTCTGGGCAGTTGTTCTTTCTATAATCTAGACAATGCCTGCATGATATAAACCAAGACTTAGTAACATAGCAGAGTTTCAGCCTACACTAGAGTTATAGTGCTTTGATGAAGATTGATGTGCTGTTTGAACAGATGAATTCTTGATTGCTTCTCCACACCCCCAACAACTGTCATTAGGTTTTCCTTTATGAATAATGCACAGAACTTCCTTCTGAGAGCAAGATCATCTCTGTCTTGTTCATCTGTGTATTTCTCTGTATTCTCTTACCTAAAACTGTGCCTGTCACATAGTAGGTGAATGAATGACTCTTGTTAAATCCAGCCACTTTTTGGGAATTTGTATTCTCCTGTTGCACTCCCTCGCCAGTACCTGCTGCTTGGAAGAATAATGTTCTTTTCACTCCTTAGGAATACCCATTCTTATAATATCTATAAAACTTCTGTGGTCGGTGAGGTATATCTACAACAGCATGCATGGATTGGGATTGGCATATAAGCTGTTTTTTTTTTTTCGTTTAGAGAAAATTGCACAAAAGTTGCAGTTTCTGTGTTTAGCATTATAGCATGTGATAACTATGAGAGTGTTGGAGACTTGTTAGTGAGTGACAAGTGTCTAAATGAGCAGATTTAATTGTACTATTGAGGAAGAAACAAATTACTCTTCTCCTGGTGAATTAATATTTGTCTAACCATTCAGTTACATTTAATAAATTACCTCTATTAAAGCTTTAAAGTGACTTAACCTAGAGGTAACAGCAGAGTTAATATAATTCGTTTAAATGTGTGAGTTAGATCTTTGTTTCTCCACCCACTAGGTGGAGCATTTTTTCAATGCTTTCTTTTAGACACATCATTTTTGGTAATAAATACCATATTTTGGAAAGAAGATTACTTTTTAAAATATGTAGTCATATCATGCCTGAATGTCAACTTCAACAGGGTAGCCATGCCTGGCTCTGCAAGTTATCTCTACACGATTGCAGGAATGTTATTCCAATAGACTACAATAGAAATGGCACCTCTGCGGCCACTCAGACCTTTTAGAGAAATTCAAGTTAAGGAAAACAATCTCTCAATGCTTTTTATTTTTATTTTGTGGAAGATGTTAATTACCTAGTAATGTTTGCATGATAGGGAGGCTGAAACTGAGATGTGCACTCTCCTATAGCAAAGGTGGAAAGGAGTAATTAACATCAACAATTCAAACTAGGAATCTAAAACTGAACACAAAATTTTCTTTTCTTTTCTTTCTTTCTTTTTTTTTTTTTTTGAGACAGAGTCTGTCTCTGTCGTCCAGGCTGGAGTGAAGTGGCGTGATCTCGGCTCACTGCAAGCTCCGCCTCCCGGGTTCACGCCATTCTCCTGCTTCAGCCTTCTGAGTAGCTGGGACTACAGGTGCCCGCCACCACGCCCAGCTAATTTTTTTGTATTTTTCGTAGAGACAGGGTTTCACCATGTTAGCCAGGATGGTCTTGATCTCCTGACCTCGTGATCCACCCGCCTTGGCCTCCCACAGTGCTGGGATTACAGGCGTGAGCCACCGTGCCCAGCCTGAACAAAGAATTTTCTAGCAAGTCAGCTGGAAATGTTTTATAAATTAGTTGGTCATTAAAATAACTCCTGTGTTACCTATTAAACATAAAAGATCATTCAAGATAATCCCAAACATACTTCATAACAAGGCTCAGCATGAGAAGAGGGAAAATGATCCAGTATTTAGTGTGTATATAGATCTAAATCTGCTTGAATTTGATAGGAAGGAAAATATGTCATTTGATGAAACTGAAGGATTCGTTGTAATTATTAGATAGAGTGTGATTCCTAAAATTATAGCAAGCACATGATAAGGCAGAACTTTTAAATTATAGGTTTGGCTGGTACATGCAACAAAAGACCTGCACTGGCCTATGTAACAACAGGAGTAACAATGTGATAATTATAAGCTACACTTTACCGCTCACATTCGCAAGTGTAATTTAATGAATAGATTAACAGGCTGCAAAAAAGAAAACGATTAACATTAACAACGGTCTGTTTTGTGCCACATACTGTGCTAGATATGTGACTGTTACTGATTGATTTAATTCTCATATTCACCCTGGAAGGTGGACATCGTTTCTATTTTATATACTGCATTTCTGCAAAGTTATAAATGCTCATGATTATTCAGAACACTGAAGTTAGTTTGACCTCAAATCTCATACTATGTCTGCTATACTAGGATGACTCTCAAATGCAGTTTATTAGTTAAACAAGCCTTGGAATATTTTAAGAAAGAGCAATTGTGATATCTACTAAAACAACAATATTATGAGCAACAAACTCGGCTCAACTGGTCAAATATTATTTGCTATGGGTGATAAAATGGGGCATCCTGCTCATTTTTAAAGCTCTTTTGGTATTGCTTGATAAAAAGGTTCTTCTTGAATTTCTTGTTTGCTCAAGCCACTTTAAAAATGATCTCTAAAGTGACCTTATGTCTGCTATAATGATGATCTCTATAAATGTCACAGTTACTTAAAACGCCCCAAAAATGTTCAAGTGAGAAGTGTTTGGCTTAAACAAACCGGTATAGGCATGGAGATTGAAAATGTCAAAGTAAGCTGTGATCTTACTAAGGAAGTTTTATATATATATAAAATAACTGGGAGCCTGGGATACTTTTGCTTCAGTTAGAAAAAAAGTGTTTCTATAAAATTATATTGGCCGGGTGCGGTGGCTCACGCCTGTAATCCCAGCACTTTGGGAGGACTAGACGAGTGGATCACGAGGTCAGGAGATTGAGACCATCCTGGCTAACACGGTGAAACCCCGTGTCCCCTAAAAATAAAAAAAAGAAAAAAGAAAAAAGACCAGGTGTGGTGGCAGGCGGCTGTAGTCCCAGCTACTCGGGAGGCTGAGGCAGGAGAATGGCGTGAACACGAGAGTCAGAGCTTGCAGTGAGCCGAGATCGCGCCACTGCACTCCAGCCTGGGGGACAGAGCGAGACTCCGTCTCAAAAATAATAATAATAATAAAATAAAATAAATACGTAAATACAATTATATTAATACTTAGCTAATGCTGCCCATATTTTATATTATACAGACAATAATCTGCACAATAAAGTGAAAATTAATGTCAAATTACATAGGTTCACTAATAACTTTTCTGTATGGATTTTCATACATTAATGATAGTAAAATAAATATTCATTAAGGGCTTGCTGCATTTTAAACACTGTAATGTACTTCTCAAAAATTATGGCTTTTAACCTTGCAACAAGTCTGCAAACTGGGTATTCTTGTCTCTGTGTTAAAGAAAAGGCGGGTTGAGCTAAATGAAGTTAAGAAACTTGCCCAGAGTTACATAGGTTAGATAAACATCTAGCCTGACATTCAACCTACGTATATCCATGACCAAAGCTGGTGATTTTAACTACACTTCTATACTGCTTATAATTAGATATTATTTTATTTACTTATTCATCATTCATTCACTCACTCATTATTTGTTGAGACAGAGTTTCACTCCTATCACTCAGGCTGGAGTGCAATGGTGCGATCTCGGCTCACAGCACACGCCACTTCCTCGGCTGGGACTAAAGGCATGCGTCACCACACCTGGCTTATTTTTGTATTTTTTGTAGAGACAGGATTTTTGTCATGTTGCCCAGGCTGGTCTCAAACTCCTGGGTTCAAGTGATCCACCTGCCTCAGTCTTCCAAGGTGCTGGGATTATAGGCATGAGCCACCATTCCCCGTGTATTATTTTAAATAAAAGGATTGATTTTTTTAAAATGAGCAGTGGGAAATTTCTTCCTATTATTGCCTTTTTGTGTATTTATTTTTTACAGGGAACCAAAGTCCTGCAGATGTTCATGTGGTACCTGAATCCACGGCAAGTCTTTGATCTTTCTCAGGAAGGGCCAAAAGATGCGTAAGTCTGGAAATATTCTCCATGGTCCATAAGTATTTTAGGCAAGTGAGCACTTTCTGCTTCATTATCTGATTACCTTGTGAGGTATTTCCTGACTGTTTGTCATCTACTTTCTCACCTGTATCTCCTTCCTTTAAAACTTCATCTAAAGTTCTCTCCTACTCTTTCTTGGCTTAGTTCCCTTCAAAACATTTCTTCTCAGCTATTAACTCAGGATACGTCTAGTGTGTTTGTTACTTACATGTGTGTAACTGCAGACTGTTCTCCACAAATCTGTGAATTGAGAAAGGACTCATTGTTTTTCTATTTCTTCATGTACAACTTTGGAGATGCACATTAGTGGGAATGTAAATGTATGTCTGTGGAGGCTGGAGCCATATTTGTTTACAAACATTTGAACTGAAAAGAGTGTATGTGTGCGCGCGCGCGCCTGCCTGTGTATGAGAGACAGAATCAATTGATTATACCTGAGGACTCTGCACAAGTGTGGGGAAGACATATTAATTCCTGCTCAATCCCTTTTCTGAGCTTCTCAGAAATCTCATTCCCTGCTTTTGTTAGAAGTGTTTAAAACAAAGTCTAGATTGTAGGTGACCCATATCCTGTTTCTCCCCCTTGGTGGAGAGGCACACAGTGGAAAAGACCAAGCACACTTCTGCTGTTCTCTGTCTCCCTGTTTTAAATTCATGTACTAGGATAGTTCAGATGTTATCTGATAAATGTTAGAACACAAGGATACCATTTATTTTTTAATAAGTAACAATGTCAGAAGGCGATTTCTAGATAAATAGTATTATTGTATAAAATGAATAAATTACTTATTTTAAGCATGTAGGAGATTAGGAAATATTAAAATTAATTTGTTATTTTCTTAATGTATAAATTTCTCTGCCAGTTGAGTTTGCTGCAAGATTCTTTCTCTCTCTGTCCCTATAATACACACACACACCGCCCCCCCCATATATTTATTTATTTTCTATACTTTATTGTACTAAGGCAAATCTACTATCCTGGGATGTGCCATTTTAGGAGCTTATTTTCTTAAGATTTTATCACTTTAGTTAGACCCTAGAGAGACACTTCAGAGGTCACCATAAAGAACATGGTAGGACAGGAAATATTTTCAGAAGAAACCCATATTTTGTGATTTAAATAGGTGATATTTTCTCTATTACAGCCTCTCACAGCTTCACCTAAGCAAAAGATTTAGCAGGAGCAGTGTCACTGCATTTTTCTGAGAGCCAAGAGGAAAGACAAAATGATCTTATTTCAAGCAGGGAAGTTTGAAATAAAAAAAAATCAGTCAATCTTCCCACTTTGGGTTGGAGGTAAAAGTGGTGTGTAAGTGACTGAGCTGAGAGACAGACTAGATGGAATCGTAGATGTGATAGTAATGATAATGGGGAAGCCTCCCCATCTCGCTGAAAAAGATTTCTTAGGATTAAGAGTAGAAAGTGTAAGTTAGAAAAAGTAAATACATCCAGGGAAAGCTAGTAAATATAAAGAGGGGATATGTAAGGACTACTGATTGTCAATTAATGATGATTTTCTTGGGGAAAGGAGAAGAGGAAATGATGGGAAAAGGGAAAGAAAGAAGTCGAAACTAATGAGAAAAATAACGTTGACATGTAATAGAAGTTATGGGAAATAAAACTAGGGCATCCTAAAATCCCTTAAATTCCAACGTTGAATTATTCATTCAAAAATAATGTCTGATGCCTACACCTGTTCCACTTGTGGGAGTCATTCCTCCTGTGGTTACTTGGGACCTATGATAGTATTTTCATCCTCACGATTATACATTTTCTCCAGTGGACACCACCCCTACCCATGTTGTCCTCTGCTTTCTCTCTGCTCTAGCCAGTGAAATGTTCTTTTGTTTACTTTTTCTTCTATTTCCTCTACAGGCTTGAACTGTATAGGAAAGTACCAAATCTGCGAATTCTGGCCTGTGGTGGGGATGGAACGGTAGGTCCCTGAAAGAGAATCCAGTTCTCTGCCAATTCTATATTTCTTATTGTTTTCTTGTGCCACTTTTTTTTATTCATTGCCCAGTCTTTCCAATCCCCTAACACACATAGATCTCTCATGTGAATCATAGCCCCTAAGAGTAACAAAGGACTTTTTATTGTCCTTATGAATACATACTTGATCGTTCTAATGTGTGCTTCATTCCCTCAACTGTGCTGTATTCTTTCCTGTGCCATGAAGTAGGGATGTGGTCAAATCATTAAAATGAAGATTATAGATAAATTCCTTTTAAAATATAAGCTGACCTGTTTCCTTTTTTTTTTTTTTTTCTGAGACAGAGTCTCGCTCTGTTGCCCAGGCTGGAGTGCAGTGGCGCAATCTCGGCTCACTGCAAGCTCCACCTCCTGGGTTCGCGCCATTCTCGTGCCTCAGCCTCCTGAGTAGTTGGGACTGCAGGTGCCTGCCACCACGCCTGGCTAATTGTTTAGTAGAGCGTGGGTTTCACCGTGTTAACCAGGATGGTCTCGATGTCCTGACCTCGTGATTCGCTCGCGTTGGCCTCCCAAAGTGCTGGGATTACAGGCGCGACCATTTATTCTTAATAATTTGGCCACAGTAGGGAGAAATACGTGGACACAACTGAATTATTACATTTTTTTTTTTTACTAGTGGGACTAAAACTCAGAATATTGACTGTTGTTTTGCCCTAAAGATTATTAATTGGTCCTATTTATATTCTTTTTTGTTGATACATTTTACATGTATATGGACTATGTGTGATATTTTGTTACATGCATAGAATGTGTAATGTCAAGGTTTGGAGGTATCCATTACCTAGATGATAATTTCTATGTGTTGGGAACATTTCAAGTTCTCTTTTCTAGCTACTTTGAAATACATAATACATTGTTGCTGACTGTACTCACCCTACTCTGCCATTGAACATTAGAACTTATTCCTTCTATCGGACTGTATGTTTGTATTTGTTTATGAAAAAAACGTGGAATTGGGCTGAAGGTTAATATCATGAATATACTTTTTCCTGTTTATTATGCCTCATCTGTTTTCTTCATTTGGCCTCTACTTATAGTGATATATTTAACAAAGTAAAGAATTGAGAATCATGACATTTAGCTTGTATTGTCTGGTTCTTTTTCTTCTGGATTTGGAATCTGATCTCATAGGATCTATGATTGTATCATGAACTATCTTTAGCTTTTCTCTAATTTCCCTAATTAGAATGTTTTATTCTCAAAGGTAGCAACAAAATCTTCCAATACTATCTCTCTTAGCACATAAGCACTTAATGTAGGGTTGGATGCACATTATATACCAATAAATGCAATCACAATGAAATAGAACTGTGATTTTTATCGGTCTTTCAGATACTCTGTGGAGAATAAAAACAATGTTCAGTTGGGAAAAATAGTCTTTATCTTTCTTCAAGGTTTATATTACACAATATTAGTTTATAAAATGCATTATAATGTCTTACAGCAAAGAAGCCAAACCTATTTAACTTTTTAAAATCCAACGGTTTTCAAAATTATTTGGCCATGGAATTTTTTCCCCACACAATACCAATTTTCAATTGATTTTATTGTTCTAGGGAGACATATTTAAGGGATGTGCTAGGGCAAAATTTCCCAACTTTCTTTAGTAAGAATTGCATCCGAATGAACCCTCTGAGGATGGATATACTGTGTTCTTCCTAACTCAAGCATCCCCCAGCTTAGTTATCTTTAATGAAAGGGTAAACTCATTGTGATTCTGTACCATACCCATAGTTATCTTCCTTATTTTAGCGTCTACTTGCCTTCTCATATGACTTCAGATGTCACACATCTTTTCTCCTTTTCTAAACCTCAGTGACAAAAACAGGTAAGTTGAGGATGTCGTCCTTCCTCTTTCTTAACTCAAATTCATATAAGCTACGCATAACATCCCCAGATCTTGGACTTCTTTGTTGCCTTGGGTGCTCCACCTCCCAGGCCTCCCCTTCTCCATGGAACCTCCCACTCTACCTCTCCCTCCCTCATTCTCTCTCCTTTCTTCTTCCTTTTCTTTTTTCATTCTTTCCTTTTTTTTTTTTTTTTTTTTTAGACGGAGTCTGGCTCTGTCACTCAGGCTGGAGTGCAGTGGCATGATCACAGCTCCCTGCAACCTCTGCCTCCCAGGTTCAAGCGATTCTCTTGCCTCAGCCTCCCGAGTAGCTGGGACGATAGGCATGTGCCACCACACTGGGCTAATTTTTGTATTTGTAGTAGAGATGAGGTTTCACCATGTTAGCCAGGATGGTCTTGATCTCCTGACCTCGTGATCCACCCGCCTTGGCCTCCCAAAGTGCTGGGATTACAGGTGTGAGCCACATGCCTGCCTGTCTTCCTTCTTTACTCAGCAGATATGTGGAGGAAGCACTGTGCTAGGTCATGTAGTATTGAGATATTCTCTGCAATTAGGTGAATATTTGAAAGCATGGGATTCCAATGAATAAAGGATAAAGAGGAAAGACAGCCAAGTCCACACACTTGTGAAACCTATAATTATGGGGTCTGAGCCAAAGTCCAAAAGGAAAATAAATGAAAAAATAGAAGAATAGGACAACCACCAGTCTGTTCTGGCAAGTAAACAAACCAAAAAGGGAGTTTCAAGAAAGAGGCAGTAGTTAACGTTTTTAAGGAGACACTGAAAAGTTACCATTGCATATGGAGTTTCAAGAAAGCAGTTTCAATAGAGTATTTGGGGCAAAACCCAGAATGATGAGTAAGTGAATGTTGGTACAATCTTAATAAATTCCTAATGGACAGATCCGATTACAGTGTCAAATGTCTGTGATCTCTCTGATGCCATTGTCAGCCTCTTGACATGTAGACTACCTCCTTCTACTTTTCATATCCATTCTTTTCAAGCAACTCTTCATTAATGATATCATAATTTATGAGTATTCCATAAGGGTAACTAATTTTTTTTAATGTGGTAGGTACTTTTTCCTCTTAGGGACATTATCTATATTTTAACTTCTGTTTTTACCTCCTCTGATGTAATTCACAAATGTACTAGTCATTTACACTTGGGTGTCCCATGGCCACTTGCATTCAGCATGCCTAAAATAAAAGTAGTACATTTACCCTAGAGTTGGTGCATTTAGACTAATTATTTTTGTCAGTGGTAACATCTGTAGTTAAAATACTCAGAATCAAGACTTTGCTTATCTTGTACCTTATGTAAACCCAAGTTTAATTTACCTTGTTAGAATAAGAGGTTTTGTGAAAAACATGGGGTATATGAAATGTTTATCATGGTATGTGACTGATATTTTTTTGTTTTGTTTTGTTTGTTTTCTATCACTGTAGAAGCTGGCAGAATGCTGCCAGTAAAGTGACAAAGCTCAGGGAGAAATCAGAAATTAAATATTTTTGACTGACTAGGATGAGGCTGTATTACCCCATAACCAAATTAGTTTAAATTAAGAGTATTATTTAAGATATAGAAAGTATTATTTAAGGTATAGAAAGTTTGCACTACTTTGGAAAAAAGTTCTTAGGCTTCAATATTAGCTACTTTAATTGTATGTTATTTAAAAACTACATGAAAAGCCAGGTATGGTGACTCACGCCTATAATCCCAGCACTTTGGGAGGCTGAGATGAGCACATCACTTGAGGTCAGGAGTTTGAGACCAGCTTGGCCAACCTGGTGAAACACCATCTCTATTAAAAATACTAAAATTAGTTGGGCATGGTGGTGCATGCCTGTAATCCCAGCTACTTGGGAGGTTGAGGTGGGAGAATTGCTTGAACCCAGGAGGTGGAGGTTGCAGTGAGCCAAGATTGCACTACTGCACTCCAGCCTGGGTGACACAGTGAGATTCTGTCTCAAAAACAAACAAACAAACAAACAAAAACAAAAACGAAACCAAGGAAGCAGAGGGATACATTCCCCAATAATGCACTTGGAAGTAACCTTTGGCAGGTTCCTTAACCTCTTTTGAGACTTCCTAAATCTACAAAGAAATGCATTCAGATCTCTAAGGTTCTTATAGCTGTAGCATTATAGTAATATAGACTATTGTTCAAGATAACTTTACTGCAAGCCACATTTGTACAATTTTGAATTTTCTGGAAGGTACTTTTAAAAAGGTAAAAAGCAAGTGAAATTAATTTATAATATATTTATTTATCTAAAATAGTATCATTTCAATATGTGTTAATTTATAAACATTAAGATATTTTATGTTCTATTTGTACAGTCTTCAAAATCTAGCATACATTTTATACTTACAGCACATCCAATTTGGATGAGCTATATTTGAGTGCTGGATCACCACGTGTGGCCAATGGCTGCTGCGTTGGGCAGTGCAGGTGTAGTCTCTTTGTTACTGGCTTGTACAATTCAGAGGCTGTCACATAGTTACAGCTGTCAGATGGTCTGATTCCATTTTCAGATCTCTTGGCTTCAATAAAATTCAGCTAACTCAAGAATGATCTCAAACCTTCATGTTTGTAAATGAGAAATAGCCTGTCCTTGGTCATGTGATAAATTTGTATTTTCTCACTTCCTTGGCCACGTTGACACCTATTCAACTCCCAATGGCTGTCACCCTGCTGAAATATTGACGAGCACATGAACTGATTTCTTCAGGTACCCTCATTATGGCTCCTTAAGGTGTGACCTATGGTCCCTATCTATCTGGCTCCTGACTTTGGTGAATTTGGCTGGATCTGCAAGTCTACCTTTAAACATTTTAATTATTTCCGAAAGGCCTGATGTTAAATTGACTCCAGCCATCCACTTCATGCTTACTTCTTGTTCTATTGGCTTCCCTAGATGAAAAGACATCTAAAATGGTAGGTATCCCCATGCCCTGACTCACCACAGCTAATGCAAAGAAAGAAGTATTATTTTCCTTTAATCGATATGGACAATCATCTCTCATCCTAAGCCCCTTTCCTCATTCATCCTCAGCCTAGTTATATTTCATAGTCTCTCATGAGTAAG